GCCGGAGGAGCCGCCCGGCGGGGCCTACGGCAGAGCCGGGCGGTAAGGGCCGTACAGGGGCCCAGCCAGCCGCGGCTCGGGCGGGCCTTCTGCTGAGGCTCGGCTCGTGTGGGCTCTTGGGAGAGCTGAAGTCATCTAAAAGTCGCTGAGATGGTGACCCCCACCCCTGGGGTGCGCCCTGTGGACCTCTTTTCCTGGTGAAGTTCCTTATCAAAAGAGAAGTGCTGAGGGTGTCTGTGACCCGATCCAGCTTGTGTTTGTGCAGGGTTCAGCTCCTGCAGCGCCCTGACCCTGTGCCACGGGTTCATGTGTATCTTGCTTGTGATACATGCTGGGGTGTTGCAACACCCTGTTGCAGTTCACCCCATCGGTTAAGTGATGGAGAGCCTGTTTCATTCAGTGGCACTTTAGCCCACAGTTTGTCATTGCTAAAGCCAAGGGGTGTCCCAAAATAAGTTAATAAACAGGAGTCCCAGGGTAGGGCATGAGGCAGAGGTCTCTGGCTCTCAGCTCATGGAGCTGCTCCCTCACTGCTGGCTGGGTAATTGTGAGCTGTGAACCACGGGCCAAGGAAGGGCTGAGCTCTTTGGCTGGAGCAGTGTGTCCCCGTGACAGTGATGGTGGCCTGGGCTGGTCCCAGGAGCCTTGTGACCCTGTGTGCTGATGAAGTGAGACAGTTAGAGAAACCTTGGTATGAGTTTACAGAGGAAGAAGTAGTTCCTTTTCACATACACACACGAAGATTATGGTATCTGTGCTTCACAGGCTGGCAAGTGAGGCACAGGGGATAACAGGGAAGTTCACACAGGGCATGTGTGGCAAAGGTGAGAAGTAAAATTAAGTCCCCATTTTTTCCAATCTTAACAGGACCGTCTGGTAAAATTCTAGAGTTTCCTGTTTTTTCACTTTTACTTCTTGTTTCATTAGTACAGGCAACATGCACATCTCTATAACTTGTTTTTTAGTGGCCAAAGCATTCACAAAAGAGAGTTTCATAATGCAGAGAGACACGTGAGTGTAGAAAAGGTATCCTGTAGCTACGTGGTCATTGTCGATGTCATAGATAATTAAGTGTCATAAACTGATACATCATTTTGCACTAAAATGGAATAGGATCCAGGTAATGGATGGGAGGGTGTATTTTAATGTTTGCACAGATGGGGGCAGAGTTAAACTTGTGTGTGCTGCTTTTGAATTTCTTCAATAATCTGTCAACAGATTGAATTGCATGTTGCATTCCTTAGATTTTCTAATAGTAATAAGGTGGAAATCTCTCTTCCTCTGTTTCTTTTCCTAAAAAGGATAAGAACAAAAAACCATGAAGGTGGGTTACATTTGTAATAAATAAAGAGGCATGAAAATTTTCTGGTAAAGACTCAAAAGATACAATCTGACTTTTGAAGAGGAAATTAGCAATTATTACTTACATACATACTTGCTGAATTGTCTGATCCTTAAATTAAAGTCAGATAAAAGAATTTCCTTTTCCCTGCTGTGTTTTGCACTGAAACATATGAGACCATTTTTCCTGCCTCAACTTACCAGTCTGTCTCAAAGATGTTGCAAAACTTGTAGTTTTAAGCATTGTTATATGTGGCAGGGGAAATCAAGTCTATTTTCTCTATACTGTTAACTGGGCACTTACAACATGTTGTATATCCTAGGGGAACAGAAAGACTTGTCTAAAATTTAGAATGGTTGGATTTACTATGACCGGAAGCACTCTAGTGTGCTCAGCACCTTCAGCTTGTTTGTGACTGCAGCAATCAGTGGGGATTGTGAGCTGTCTACAGCTCATAGGAAGCAGTATGCACTGTACAGAGTTGGGTTGTTAACTACACATTTGCAGCCAGAGGCTACTTCCACTGGGAGATGTGGTATTGATTCAACAGCATTGGAGCAAGCTTTTTATTAAAATGTCTGCCAACAGTGTCAGCTCTCTGTTTAGCCAGTCTAATGTCAAACTCTGTCTAATCTATTTTGTATATTGGCCCTGATGTCCTCAGAATGGCTGGACATCACGATTTCAATGCTGTGTGTTTTCCATTGCTTCATCATAGACATCCCCTCTGTTCCTCCCCCTGCAGCTCACAGTGGCCATGGTGGTGGCTTGGGCACAACTGGGGGAGACAAAACTCCTCAGGAGAAAATAGGGGAAAGCCTAGAGAACATCAGCTTGAAATTACCATAAAGAGGAACCTTTTAACTTAGCAGAGCTGCAGGAAACTACAGTTTTGAGAGCTACATCAAATGGGGTAGTTTGCTGATAAAGAGAAGGGTAACTTGCCAATAAGTGGGTACCTGAGGGTAAGACAGGAAGAGATAGTTAATAAAACTCTCAGGCACTGGGTAGCAGACCCCTGGAGGCAGTAGGGCAAAACAAGGCATGTTCACATTATTCCCAAAGTATAATATGGTTACATTTTCTTCTGACTCTTATCAACATGCAAATCTTGAGCTGTTTCATTACATTGATGCAAAAGCCTTTTTTGGACACATATCAATTGAAGTATGTTGTATATTGATTTAGCTTAAATCTATTCTTTACCACTTCAGTTGAAACAGTAGAAAGCACTCTTCAGCTGTGGGAGTACACCTCCCACAGACAGCATTAATTTAACAGCACCAGTTTTTGAACTGTTTTAATTACACTGCAACTTCCTTGCACAGGTCAGGACTGGTTGCTGCAGAAGCAGAATCATGTCAGTGTCTTTTGTGTCTTTTCTCAAACTTGTAAAAAGAAACCTTCTGATTCGACCGAAGAGGTGGATTCATGTTGGACTGGCAATTACTTTGCTTGATTTTCTCTAAGTCAAGGCCTGTGACAAGAGCAGGAACCAAAGCATCAGCAAAGACCATACCTTCTGTTATTTCCATGGAAGAACGGGCTTTGTAATGAGGGGATAAGCAACTAAGTTGAATTGGAAGGACACCATGAACAGCTTTCAAACCCAACTCATCCACAAATGGAAAATTTGCCCATCCCTGTCCTTACCTACATTCCCGTCCAGTTCTGTTGGTAGGCATGGTTATCACAGGAATGAGATTTTCCTCTCTTGTATATGCAGACTGTAGGTTTTCCAAAGCTCATCACTTTTGAGAACAGCCTGCTATTTTTCTTGCCAAGTAAAGGCTCTTGTTCTTGTGGAAAAATATTTTTATTCTCCATTTCAAGTTTCAGCAATCAGCCATGTCTAGTTTTGACAAGAAAAAGGGTGCTTTAAGATGCCTTTAATGCCTTAAGAATGGTGGAAAGGATATGTTTTCCATTTGTGAAACACAAAAGTGTTGAAAATATTTTCTTTATGTTTGAAAACCAAAACAAAATTAAGCACACAGTAAAACCAATGAGTTCATCTTGATGATGAACAACATGAAAAATACCATTGTGGAATCTGTACAATTAGAGCTGAATAGAAATTGCTTTATAACCTGAACTCGTACACAACAGGGGAGCCAGATTGTTTTAGCTGACTGAGGTACTCAGGTTTTGTGAATACAAGAGCAGAACCTCATGTGGTCTTTCTCCTGTCACATGGCAGGACCCATGGGCAATATGAACGTTTAGTGGGGATGTGGAAGGTCAGTGATTCCCACAAAAGTTTGGCTTATTGTCCTTCATTAATCCATGGATCTGCAGTTATTTCGCTGTATGCTCCAGGTTTGCTGTAGGGTTGGTCAGATGGGCTTCCACACTCTCAGCATCTGTCATTTCCAGAAGTAATTTAGGGCATTCAGGGAGGAGGCCATGAGCCAGGAATTATTCTGGCAGGATGCTTCCAACTATTATCTTGTCTGGGGACACCTGCGTGTCCTGTAACCAGAACATGTCTGTAACCCAAGGGGCTGAGAAAAGATGGTGGTCAGGTGTGGGTTGTTGCAGAAGCCAGGAAAATTAATTTGGACTTTGTATGCTCCCAGCTGCCCCCATAAACTAGGTGTAACTGAGAAGACCAGATAAAGTGGCTTCTTCATGTCTAAAGTTTGTGAGCACCTATAATCTTTAGAAGGGCAAGAGACCTTGGTCAGATAGTATGGGCCTCATTTGATGGTATATTTCTCTAGGTATTATAAGCCCCCCACTTCTCCCAATAGATAGTTGGTTACCAGGTATGTGCTACTTCTGCAAATGCCTCTTATGAAGGGCAAGACCATAGTTCCCAGACTTTTTTCTCACAGATCCATTTATTTGATCTTGGCTCAGTCAATTTATTTGGTATATCGCAGATGCAGACTTTGACGGGGAAGAAAAACGACGGCAGTACTGAATGTTTAAATGAGTACTTGACCTATCCAAAATGCTAAATATTGGATAGTGTCTCCTATCTCTGGGAAGCAGAAAAGTGTCTTTTTTTTTTAATATAAAAAGGAGATACTGAATTACAGGCAAAATATTTTTTCCAGGCTCTTCTGTGGACAGCTAGATCTGATGGCAATAGAGAGGAATAGACTAATTCTGAATCAAAAAACAGTAGAAGTCAGGCACAAAATTA